ATATGGTTGTCTGTGTATTCCTGCGAATCTTCTATGGGATGTTTTGTCAACCAGTGCCACTCAAGAAGAAGATAATATATCAAGCGAGGGAATCGTTTAACCATTCCTCATGTATAATAATATATAATTATATATATCATATGCTTTATGGGCAATAATTATCAACATTTCTTGTGTAACACGCTTATGCTCTATAATTGCTAATGGGCAATGGTTGGTTTAGCAACTCTGTCTGCTAAGCCACTCTTACAACCTTAACTTAAGGGTTAATTACACTTTGACCCCAAATTATGGCTTTCATCTCCCTTTTTTTTCTTTTTCGAGCTATTGAATTTTTGACATTACTCTATCAACTACTTGAATTGGTTTTATACTACCCCAAACGCAAATGTCTGTTATCTTCTGGACGGAAAATGTGAACATGTCAGGACAAAGCAAAACAAAATCACCTATTTGAAGGGACATGGTGAAATAATTTTCGGTCAAATTTCTAATGGATGTTAATCATTGAGGTGTGTAAAACTAATAATCATGGCTAAAGATGCAATGCTAGAAAAATAATAGTTGAGGACACAAAACTAGTAGTTTAAGGGGGTAAAGTATAATTAATCCAAACTAAGTGTTTGCACCCAAACCTTTTTTTCTTTTCACAATTGTCCCCCTCTTACCGAAGGGTTTGCCTCCTTATTCCTTTGACCTAATTCCAACGGTCATCCCTCGTAATTAGATCTGTTAAAATTCGACACAACACGATTAATCGATACTAATCGATATGAATTAATTNATTGGTGTTGTTCTTCAAGAGACAGGGAAATTAGCCCCTTTTTTTTTTCTAAAAAAATTAAACAATGGGTCTTCTAACTATTAATAAAAAAAATATTCAAGTGATTATTGACCACCAAATACTTAAAAAGCTTAAATTGTAATATGCTGTGTAACATAAATATCAGCACAATAATGTCTCATATGAGGTCAAATTTTGTGTGAAACACGAAGTCTTATAAATAGTATGGTGACGGCAAAAATCGAACGAAGTACCTTTTGGTGTAATACCATATTAACTACCATCTATTCCAAAAAAAGGGTATAAATAACTCCAACCAGATCATGAGTTAAAATAAAATCAATCAAACAGCCAAAAGAGGAGAAGATACCAATTTTATTGCAAACCCATCTGGCATAAAAGTTGCAAAATATAAAGAAATAAGAGTATGGAGTATTTGAATTATTGTCATAAGAAAGACAGGAGGATGTCTAACTGTATAATACTTCTGACATCATTAATTTAATGCAGATTACCATAATTGTAAGCCTTTAACTAATCATGGGTATTTCTAATCTCCAAGAAGCTCTTACCTTTTCCAAATCTTTTGGCTGATTTTGGGGTTGGAATCTTGGCATAAAATTGATTCAAATGTGGAGTTTACTTGAAACCCCAACATACCCTATTGTATAAAGTCCTCTAGGCTTGCATTTGTTTTAATGCCTGAGGCTTGCATCATCTACAGTTTTTACTGATTTGGACTCTCAAAAAAACAGGGGTGTTTTTCACAACTCCTGTTTTTCCACCAAAAAAATATCTGTCACTATGCCCTACCAGTGATGTCAACTTCATGAAGTCTCAAAACCTTTGATGAGACCCTTGCAAGTCAGATTATTGGATCTCTACCTTCACATTTCAGAATAAGAGCAAAGCATAGAAAGAATTACCGTATCCAATCACTACAGATTGGTTCATTGGTGGGGCAGCGGGTATTCAAGTATTTCCGATTGCATAAAATCTGGGTTTAATTGATACGCGTAGTTTGTAGGTGATTGCATATATCATAGGTTTGTGTTATAGTTGTAAATTATCCTATCAGTAATTTTTTTCTTACAAAAAAGTCTCAAATCACCTATTTAGGGCTTCAACAATGCTATTCTCACATNTTGCCTCCTTATTCCTTTGACCTAATTCCAACGATCATCCCTCGTAATTAGGTCTGTTAAAATTCGACACAACACGATTAATCGATACTAATCGATATGAATTAACTGAGTTTTGGTGAGATCTTAATAGGTTTAGGTGGTAAACGGATTGACCCGACAAACACGTTTAATAAACGGATTATGTTCGAATGAGATATGTCAAACCGCTTATCAAACGTTTATCTGTTTAAATAAAATTAATATAATAATAAATTAATAATTATTTTAAAAATTAGCCAAAAAAAAAGTAAAGAAATCAATACAAAAAAATAAAAAGAAAAAAAGTAATAGTTCAAAGACAAAGGAGGGGAGATGAGAGAAGTTAATGACAAAGGCAAACTAACTTTTTTTGTTTTTGTCCCACGTCGACAAATGAGGGGAGATGAGGAGGGTTACCTTGCCTAGAAAAGGCAATGACCTCTTCCCTTTTTTTTTTTAGCCTTCAAATTTGATTTTTATGTGAAATTTGGTTAGAAATTCATTTTTTTTAGGTAAATACAATTGGTTGTCATAAAAATGGTGTATTAAAATTTGTTGATATAATTTTTTTAAAAATTAAACGGGTCAAACGAGTCTGTCGTGTTATCCGTTTATTAAACGAGTTGTGTTCGTGTTGAAATTTTTCACTCGTTTATTAAATATGTCGTGTACGGATATACATGTTTTTCATCTGTTGCCTGTTTAACTCGACACATAACCGTTTTATTTGACACCTCTACTCTTAACATAGCTAAGGTTGTAACTTGGGCAGTTAAAGGGGGGTAAATCCAGGTTAGCGCAATATTAGAACTCTCAACTTGTGCCCAATGTAAGTCCAATTTCAACCCAAATTATTCAATCCGAGTACTGCATATATTCAAAAATTTAAAATAGGATTATTAAACTTCAGTGGAAATTCAGTTGAAAACGAGAGTTTGTTTTTCAAGTTATACAATTCAGGTGTGAATTTTAGGGTACACAACTTGGGTTGAAAATTCTGATTGAATTTAGGTTCAATTAAGAAAAGTGAAATTACAATCCTAGTATTGCCCAAATTTAAGTTAGATTGAATATTTTTTTTGCCCAAACTCAACCAAGTATTGAAAATCTCCACCCCAAGTACTAAATTTTTTGNGATTGAATATTTTTTTTGCCCAAACTCAACCAAGTATTGAAAATCTCCACCCCAAGTACTAAATTTTTTGAGTTGGACTGAAGTTGGGTTCAAATTGACCCACCCAAACTTATATCCCTTCAATTACTGTAGCTTACATAAATAAGGCTATAGTATTTTCCATCAAAACTAGTAAAAATGGTACTGAAAGATTCTTATTGAAACAGTTTTGTAATTTTATGAAAGCTCGATTGAATGGGTTTGGGCTACTAATAGCATCTTAATTTGGCCATACATAAAACTTCAAAAAATTCATCCATGATTTGTCCTCATTCCAAGTTTCAGTAAACCATACCCTTTCTAAAGAGGACAGCTGCATTATTGTGATTGTCGGCTGGATTTATAGGACTACCCTAGCTTGCTTCTTACATTAATTTTATTATGGCTTTACATTTGAATGTAGACACACAAGAAAATATTCTTCATTAGAAAAAACAGAAAACTATAAAAAATTTCCAAAATCAATCATCATTAGTGGAGACTTGTTCTTTGTTTTTTTTTATCCTATTTGATTCTTTCTTAGAAGATGAATGATTTTTTTTTTGTTTTGGAGGGGGGGGGGGGGGTGGAGATTGGTGTTGTTCTTCAAGAGACAGGGAAATTAGCCCCTTTTTTTTTTCTAAAAAAATTAAACAATGGGTCTTCTAACTATTAATAAAAAAAATATTCAAGTGATTATTGACCACCAAATACTTAAAAAGCTTAAATTGTAATATGCTGTGTAACATAAATATCAGCACAATAATGTCTCATATGAGGTCAAATTTTGTGTGAAACACGGAAGTCTTATAAATAGTATGGTGACGGCAAAAATCGAACGAAGTACCTTTTGGTGTAATACCATATTAACTACCATCTATTTCAAAAAAAGGGTATAAATAACTCCAACCAGATCATGAGTTAAAATAAAATCAATCAAACAGCCAAAAGAGGAGAAGATACCAATTTTATTGCAAACCCATCTGGCATAAAAGTTGCAAAATATAAAGAAATAAGAGTATGGAGTATTTGAATTATTGTCATAAGAAAGACAGGAGGATGTCTAACTGTATAATACTTCTGACATCATTAATTTAATGCAGATTACCATAATTGTAAGCCTTTAACTAATCATGGGTATTTCTAATCTCCAAGAAGCTCTTACCTTTTCCAAATCTTTTGGCTGATTTTGGGGTTGGAATCTTGGCATAAAATTGATTCAAATGTGGAGTTTACTTGAAACCCCAACATACCCTATTGTATAAAGTCCTCTAGGCTTGCATTTGTTTTACTGACTGAGGCTTGCATCATCTACAGTTTTTACTGATTTGGACTCTCAAAAAAACAGGGGTGTTTTTCACAACTCCTGTTTTTCCACCAAAAAAATATCTGTCACTATGCCCTACCAGTGATGTCAACTTCATGAAGTCTCAAAACCTTTGATGAGACCCTTGCAAGTCAGATTATTGGATCTCTACCTTCACATTTCAGAATAAGAGCAAAGCATAGAAAGAATTACCGTATCCAATCACTACAGATTGGTTCATTGGTGGGGCAGCGGGTATTCAAGTATTTCCGATTGCATAAAATCTGGGTTTAATTGATACACGTAGTTTGTAGGTGATTGCATATATCATAGGTTTGTGTTATAGTTGTAAATTATCCTATCAGTAATTTTTTTCTTACAAAAAAGTCTCAAATCACCTATTTAGGGCTTCAACAATGCTATTCTCACATCTAATCATCAAATCGTATGTATAAATATGACTAATCATTTGGGATAAAAAAAATTGATAATTTTTATTTTTTAATACACACAACCTTATTGTTAAGGCTCTCCTATTAATTTGATGCCTTAACAGGCTGCCATTCCATTTACAAAACCCTCTCTCTCTCCCTCCCTCCCTCCCTTCTTAACCTCCTCTTCTATTGCTGACAATTTGAACATAGTGTTCTATACAAACTTCGCCTTTTGCCAGCTTTGCAAGTAGATTGCACTCCACATGGGAAGACATTCTTGCTGCTACAAGCAGAAGCTCAGGAAAGGCCTGTGGTCTCCTGAGGAAGATGAGAAACTTATGAAGCATATAACTAAGTATGGACATGGGTGTTGGAGCTCAGTTCCTAAACTAGCAGGTATACTTTCTCTCTCTCTCTCTCTGATATTCTGAAATGAGAAGCAATCCATATTGAGAGCTAAGTCCTTCACTGCTTTTTCATTCTCTCTCATAAAATGTCAGGGTTGCAAAGGTGTGGGAAGAGCTGCAGATTGAGGTGGATCAATTACTTGAGGCCTGATTTAAAGAGAGGGACATTCTCACAGGAAGAAGAGAATTTGATAATTGAACTGCATTCGGTACTAGGCAATAGGTAAAAAAAACAAAAGGCAGCTTAGTACACGAGTCGATTATATTCTGTACCTGTACCACCACTTTACATTCGTGTTCTTTGTTTGGTGGTCTTATTAATATGTTTTTTCTTTCTTTCTTTTGCTTGATCAGATGGTCTCAAATTTCTGCTCAATTACCAGGAAGAACCGACAATGAGATAAAGAATCTTTGGAACTCTTCCATTAAGAAAAAACTAAGGCAGAGGGGCATTGATCCCAACACTCACAAACCGATCTCCGAGGTGGATCAGAATGAAGAGAGGGCCTCAGCAGCTACCAAAAGCAACGAGAAATCATCTGAAGCATACAATGAATTGAACTTTGTTGAGGCTGAGAATTGTAGCTATGGAAGAGCAGTTGAGAAGCCAAAGCCACCATCTTCATTGGCTGTGGACTGCCACCGACTAATTGAAAACAGCTGCAACAATTTGATAACATCCGCACCTTCAACTCATGAATTCTTCCTGAATAAGTTTGTTTCCTCCATTGAAAGCTCCACAACCAGTTCTAAGCCTTCGGATTTCCCGGGTTATCTCTCTTTTCAGCAGCAAAATTATCATCCCAATATCGGATTGTCGATGAACCCCAATTCCACTGTCTTCTTCAATCCAAATTCCAAGTCTTCTGAGATGATTTCTGAATTAAATTCTTGTTCAAACCTCGCCGCTCCAACACGTATCAGGCCTTCCATTAGACTTCCATCTGATAATAATCCTCCAATAGGCTCTTTTCATGTCAACAGAGTCCAGAATTGGGATATTTGTACACTCAGCAACAATGGCAGCACCAGCAATGGAAGCAACAGCAGTGCAGAACTGCAAAGCAATTGTTCTTTTTTTGAAAACAATGCGTTTTCATGGGAAAATTGTGGAAAATCTGAGAAAGAAGGCCAAAATCAATCTTTGGGAGGTGACCCAGAAGAAATTAAATGGTCTGAATATCTGCAGACCCCATTTTTACTTGGGACTGCAATTCAGAACCAAACTGCTCAAGATATATATGATGAGACTAAACCCAAACCCGAAACGCACTTCAGAACAGATGGTTTGCCAAATTCAAGTACTACTTGGCATCAGAATCAGCAGCAACAATCTTTGCAAAGCACAGATTTATATAATAAGCATTTCCAGAGACTTTCTGCAACTTTTGGACAATTTTCTTAGCCTGGTTTCATCAGGTGGAGCCTCTGATTCTACAGGTGTGTGTTATAAAGTTTCCTTGTTATTTGTAAATAGGCCTGATACAAAGTTTCTCAGCTTTTCAATTCCAGATATTTGCAAAATGAGAGTTTGCTTTTCTTCATTCTTTGTGTATGGCTGTGGTAGGAATAGGGAATAAGTCCTGTTTGGATGTTTTTTTCACTTATGTGCTTCATCTGTTTTGGATTGCCCTTGTGTGTGGCTTTGATTTAGCCAGTAAAACAATAAAAAAAAACTTTGCTACTTTTGGGTTTTACCGTTGTAATCACCTTTTCCAGTTCAAAAATCTTTAAGATTATGACCATCTAAAAGATAAAAGGGTTCGGTGTTACTATAAGGTCTTGAGAGTCGGGAGGGTTAATTGTGCGCAGTCTTACCCCGAATCCAAAAGATCTGTTCTCATGACTATATCTAAATCACAATAGTGCAATCTTATCGCAGCGACAAAGCCCACCCTGAACATGACGACCACATTTAACATAGCTAAATCTTTTTTGATTCCCTCCAATTCTTTTATCACTTCAGCACACCACCTATCTCCTTCAGAATTGGCCCTTTTTCAAGATATAAAATGCATGAAAAGCACACAAATGCTTTTCTCTATTGCAAGATTCAAGGAACCATTTTTCTTAAATGGGAGTCTTTCACTGTCTCCCACAGATGGAGATGGTTTTAACTTTTGACACTCTTTTAAGTCACTTCTCTCTCCGTTGAGGATTATAGTTTTGAAGACAAAATAAAAGCTGTCTGTCTTTGTTGTTTACATTTGAAAGCCCTCAGAAGCAAAGATGGTACTTTTCCACTTGATCAGAAAGGAGGGAAAAAACCCCCACAAATTATATAGAGCAAGCAATCCAACGGTTAGTGCATAGATTCAATGTCCTATGGTTCTCTTCAGGTAGTGACATTATCTTTAGAAGGGTTGATGAAACAAGAAATTTCAATTCAATTTGTATTGTGGGTGAGATAAAAACCGGACTCACAAAAGAAGTCTAACTCGCTTACTATTTTTCAACACTTTATTAATTCTTAAGAATACTAAAACTATCCGTATGAACGAAAGTAGTATCTAAATATTATTCAACATCATAAAAGACTTCGAATAGTTTTACCGTCCCAATAAAAAAAGAAAACCCTAATAGTTTGAAATTACTAAGAAAAACAAGCAGAACCAGAAAAGTCACAGAATTACCTCAATAGTGGGATAATATATTTTAAAAAAAGGCTCAAAACACAGTCTAAGCGTCGTTTCTTGACTTGAGCCCTTTTCTAGTAGTGGTCGAAACCTTCCTTGATTGAGACCCCAATCGGTGTCGCTTCCAACGATCCTGATCTGCCATGTGTTGCATGAAATAGGAGGCGCAGGCCAGACATTCTTAGTTCAGGATATAGAAGAAAGGAAAATACCATGTTTTCTTGGTCCATTAGAAAGGGGTCTGAGAGGAAAATGAGATAAAAGGAGGGGCCTGATATGATAATATTCTGACCATTTGACAATACTTGTTAAATTTACGGCAATGGACCCTATGACATAGCCATGTCGTCTCTTCACATTCATCACCCTCATCATTATCATCAGTCGTCGTCTTCGTCGAAACCGAATACTTTTTTCTTTTTTTTTTTTCTGTTTTTTTACTTTTTGAGGGGCTGCAGAGACCCTCTTTTGTTTTTTCATTCTTAGCCAAGCTTAGTCTTCTATCTATATAACAACATAGATGTATGATCTTTAATTGTAGAAAAAAGAAGAAAAAAAAAACCCAACTTAGAAGAAATTTTCAATCATAAAAACCCATGATCTTAATTATCAAGGATGAATGTATTTTGTGTATCTAATCTTGGGTTGCAATACAATTTATTTTTAATAAACCAAGTGAAATCGAACAATTTTTGAATATTCTTCTATAGCGTGTTTTAAACTTTATTCCAATATCTTTATTTTTTCAAAATAAGAATAATCGTACCTATCAAGGACAAAAAAAAGAAAAAAGATGGGGAACCTTATCAGAAAACAAAGTTATCATGGACCCCTGACCACAAATATGAATCAATCATATGAACCATGTATATATGGTGGGGTTGAAGCTGCAGGTACCTTGGTGTGTGGCCACATGCAAGCATACGAAAAATATGTACTCTACCCCCACAAAATACAATATATTATTAGCCTCTCGTTTCCTTGCAAGCACACGTCTGTAATATATATTTATTCTTTGTCGCTATGACTGCATGTGAAGCAAATAATTGAGAGCCCTTTTTTTTTCCTCTCTCAGGCCCTACAATCTATTTCTATGCAGAAAAGAACAAAAACAATGGAATCATAATGGAAATCTTGAAGAAAGATGATGAGCTAGCAGCAAATTTAATGCATGTTCTTACTTCAAACTTCTAGCTCTTCCGCAATAGAAAAAAAATTAAAAAAAACTTTTTGTATTTTTTTATACTTCTTGTGCCCAGATATAATAAGCTATGAGAATCATACATGATCATTAAGTTACAGACGAAGATGGATGTGAAGAAGAAAACGAAAATGGTGATTAAGAAATTGCATTTTCTGGAATGTTCAGATTCTGATATAGATGAAGAACAAATTTGCATGATTTGAAAAAAAAAAAAAATGAGGTGCTGAGATGCAAGTTCTCATCACTGCTGAATGAGTCCCAGCTGTTGGACCAAAACAGTTTTTATAACTTAAAATTTGAATTTTTGGTCGACTTTGACCATAAATTAAAGTGGGATTCGCTCGTCATTTCAAGTAAACTTTCATGAGTTCGTGTTTTACTCCATGAGTAGGATAAAATAGTATATTCACTTGTTCAAATAGAATAAGAAATGAATGAGAAAATAGACTTTAAAGTGACTCATTTAGATCGTGGAAATAGAGGTTATGTAACGTGTGAGTGGAGTGAGCACCTACATGTCTTCAGTTCAACCACACACGCGCATTTTCTGTCACACCATGACCAGGTCGAGCTCAAGTGTGGGTGTAGTTTAGACTCAACCTTATCTTTTTAGAGAAAATTGTTTAGCGAATTATGTTCAAATTTCTTAACCCAAAATTTAATTTATGATGCTCGTTGGAATTCAAATTTCGCACATGTTTGAATTTAATTTTCTCTCCAATCTGAAATTGGAATTCATGACTGTTCTTATTGGGCAGACTTCAATGGTATCTTTTGGGTTGCATATGTTTGCATTGTGACTATTTGGACCAATTATCATTCTATCTATAAATAACTCAGATTCATAGTCATTCTAGATCAACATAATTCGTCATTAAGTTGTCATTACAATACACAATTTCTGGTTCGTTGGGCACTTAGATTGGAATGCTACTGTTAAGTGCTTGAAGATCATTATATCCTGTAAGGCAAACGCTTTGATTTCCACAAGCATTAAGTATGAGAACGAAATTTGTCTTAAGGACATAGAGTCAAACACTATCCTTAATCTACATAAAGTTCAATCATAGTTCTTGGTCTGCAATCCAGTCAATTTATTAATTGTTTAATAAGGTTGTGAAAAAAATTAGTTCTTACTGAAGCATAGCCCCAAAAACTTCTCGCTATTTTCTGATTATCCAAAACCATCGTACACACTTGCTTTTTAAACTCGTGGCTATGGTGAAAAATTTGTTTGTGATCCGGTAGAAATGCGCATAATTTGCTGCAAACCACAAAAATAATTGGGTTAACAAAAGTGTTTCTTGAAAAACTCTAACTCTAAACATTAAAATAATAATTCTTGGAGTCTTTCTATCTGAACTACATTGACTAGTTATAGAAACAAAACATGTTTATGAATTAAAGTTCCATTCACTCAGTAGTTTGATTATACATGAATCCTATATTTATACATAGCGTAGTATAATAACTATACATAAATCATGCCTAGAATCTCTTAGACTATGTTATATTGTGAAAGTCCTTCTCAGGTGGAAGTTGATCTGGATCCAAAGATTTGCAAGTTTATCCATCAACTTAGTTGTCCCATTGGTTTTGGACTCCTCACAACTAGTGGATAGAAGCTGATTTTCAACACGCCCCACAAACTCAATGGGAGGAGGCGAAAGTTGAGGGTGGTATGCAATAAAGAAAATATAGTAACTGAGAGAGGTTTGGTGAAAGCATTGGTGACTTGATTCTTGCTGGAAATGAAGCAGACGAGTAGCTTGTTTGTGGACTTATGCTCACGACCAAAGTGAAAATCTAATTCACTGTGTTTCGTTCGTGCGTGAAAAACCGAATTAGAGGATAAGTAAGTAGCGTCAATGCTATCACACCAAAGGACAAGTGGTTTAGGAGGAATGCCACCTAATTCCGAAAAAAAAGAAGAAAGCCATTGTAACTCGACAGTCGTATTGGCAAGCGATTTGTGTTCAGCTTCTGTAGAGCTATGTTCAACCGTGGCTTGTTTCTTTCAGCTCCTTGAAATTAAGTTATTCTCCAAATAAATACAATAAGCACTGGTGGACCTACGATCATCTTTATGGCCTGCCCAATTATTATTCACAAAAGCTTGCAAGTAAAGGAGAAATGTCCGAGAGAAAAATAGACCAAAGAGATCAACCATTTTAAATAGTGAAGGATCCTTTTTATAGCTTGCTAGTGAGAAACCAATGGATTTTGCATAAAATCGCACACGACATTAAGAGAGAAGATGATATTAGGTCGCATAAAGGAGAGGTACTGGAGACATCCCACAACACTTCTATATAAAGAAGGATCATCAAACACTTCGCCTTGATGAGTAGAGAGAAAATAGTTAGTGGTCATAGGGGATGAACATGATTTTACTTGATCCATTTTACTCCTCTAAAGAAGATCAATAACGTACCGTCATTGAGATAGAAAAAGACCATCAGGTGTTTGAAGTACCTCATGGCCAATGAAGAAATTCAAACCACCAAGGTCCTTGACAGCAAAATCACTATGAATGATTTCAATAATGGACAAGATAGCGTTAGGACCAGTGTTATTAAAACTGGACCAGCTCAGCCAGTTCGACCGGTTGAATCGTGAACCAGGACCTAAAACAATCCGGTCCTATAGTTAGACCGTATAAGGAAGTAAACCGCTAAACTGGCCGATTTTGGACCAAAACTGTGAATCGAGTGATTTTGGTCAAACCAGATAGT